CAAAAATATTCCACCCAAATTATTCAGTATTCTTTCCTCTTTCTTCAGCATTCAGAATTATTGCTGAAGGCTATTAGAAAGACCCACGTTATATGAAAATGCGCACACAACCCACGCACTTTCGCACTTCCCAACAATAGGGAAATTCTCCTTTTCCCCCTTTATCTTCTTCCCTCGTCTTTTGTTGTTGTTCTTTACACTTGATATAGAATTTCAAAAATGGTGGCGGGAGGTATAAAAAGATGGCATCTTAGATTGTCCAATTCAGAATTAGGACAACGGAGATGTATTTCAGTCGACTTTCAAAATAAACTAGCCCCAACTCAAAAGCACAAACCATAAGAGTCTGCAAGTTCCCTACATAAATTCTTAGGACTATCAACAATGTGTTCGCACGCGCACACAGCAACAATGTGCAGTTAGCATTCCTCGAGTGAGCAGCGTTTTCCTTGTCAACCAACTGTAACTGATAAGCTTTCATCAGATTTCTCTCTCCCACTCCAGTTTTTACAGGGGACAGCGGCAAACGCCTGGAATTGAGCTACGGTTTGAAGCTCGCTCGCTCGGGCGTATAGTTGCTCTGAATTATTATTTTTTCAAGTAAATGTTTACCAGTGGCCATCAGATTCACTATTAGCCACATGATTTCTAGATGCATTGGGTTCTGAATATCGCTTTGGGGAGAAAGCAGAAGATTTCGCTACATTTTGGCATTATTTTCCCCTTCCTCGAAATGTATTTAACAAAAGTATGGAATAATTTTGGGCACTAGCCAGTTGTAAAGAACACGCTCCATCTCTCTCCTTTGGACGTGATATACTTTGACCACTGTAATCGGAATCTATTTACGCAAGCTTATTTTTATTTATTTTTATTATTTATTATTAACGAATACGTTCAAGACTTTTTGTGTGTTTGTTTTAATGTTGGTTTTGTTTCTGTAGGGAGGCGGGCCCTGGCACGCCATTGCTTTTCCAAATTCTTCCCACGTTGCCGAACGATTTTTGGGGGGCGTTGGGGAATAAGAAATACCCACAAGAACACATCTTGCGCCATGTGAAAAACGAAGCACAGTGAAAAGAAGAAGAAAACAAAACTTTTGTTTGGAAATCTCGGGGCAGGCTTTCCAACGCCGCTTTCCAGATCCCATCGGGTTTTCAACACGCTCGGCAATGTGGTTTTCGACCTTAGAAGGTCGTCGTGTCATCTTCCTGCAGGCTTTCCCTCCGCATTTAGGTAGGAACCAGGATAGAAATGCACTTTAAACCCCTCCATCTTTTTTTCTTTCTTGCCTTGCCACTTCTTTGGGAACAAACTCCACTGCACATAATGAGATCTACATCAGAGTAAACCGGTAAAGGATGAGAAGGCAAAAGCACACAACAGCAATGCCATCCGGGCATGCTTTAAATGTTCTAGGTTGTTGCTTTGAACGCTGTTTTCCAAATTCTTGCACAAAATCCACAGCAATCATCCTAATGAATGGGAAGAATTCAGGAAATGTTTGCCGCAGTCAGAAATGTCTTGCAGATTCCAATATCTTCTCATACTACTTGAATCTTGTCACTGATTTCCCTAGGACTTAAGGTTGCAACTTTTGGCTGAAAGATCTTCCGCTTACTTTAGATTTTGCAACTTGCCCCACAATCCTGCTGGGAACCCCCCCCCCCACTTGCAACCAGATTTTGTCGTCGTCGTCGTTGTATAAATCGTGGACCGATTGGATGCTAAAAGCAGGCTTCGCAACCTTTTGCAGACGTTCCTTATCATTTGCAGATAAGAAAGGGCAATCCGAGGACAGAGAGGAAGAGAAACCCTGAGGAAGAAATGAACCGAGTTGTTTTAACCTCTCTCGGCAGCACCCCTCAAATCTCCTTAAACCTTTACTGCTTGCTAATATGTCTTCAACGACTCAAGAAATTAAGGAGACCCTGTTGGGAATTGTTGGCCGTCTCTGAAATGATTGAAGCAAGTCTTGGGGAGAGTCAGATAAAGCAGAATTGTTTGCAGCAACGTTCCACGGACGTACCACGTAGGTGTTTTGGGGATCGATGCTTTGCATACATACTTACAAGCAATCACCACAGAATCGGGGTCAGTGGGCAGAGCGGACTGCAGGGTAGTCATAGCAGGTGGCAAGCATAAGGATTGCTACAGATAAAAGACACACATTTCTGTATCTGGTGGCAGCACCAAAGCTTTTCCCAACACAAGGAAACCAGACTACAACGCTAGGCACCTACAGGGTTAACGGTGCCCCCAGAAATGCCCGCGGTGGGTGGGAGGGGAGAGAAAGCAGCCCAAGGCGGAGTCCTAAAATTAAAGCACGATTCTTCTCTAAGCAGCTTAAATGCAGGCTTCCTGGTGTCCAAATTATTTTCCCTTGATTCTATCTCATTTCCGATCTCGCCGTCCCGCACCAGTCATTAGTCCTTTCTCGACAGATTAAAGAAGTCTGAGACCTCCCAGGGAAACGGGGAGGCTCCTGCCAGGGCTGTAATTGCTTGCACCTTTCAGGTGAAGGCCCCAAACACGTGTTTCTCCTCTGCTGGGCGATGGGCAAAAGAAGATCCAGGCGATAGAATCGTAGAGTTGGAAGGTAACCCGAGGATCATCTAATCCAACCCCCTGGGTGAGTTAGTTAAAGGGCCTTAACAAACAAACAAACAAACAAAATCAATCCCCATTCCTTTGCTGAGTTCCAAGGTCAATGTTTTGGCTATACACTACGAGTATGGTACACTATGATGCCAAAGTAACAGGAAGGTTATTGGGTTATTGCAAATCAGCCTCCAAACCAAGTATGGAGTTATCTCAATCCAATCCCAAAACACACTCAAAAAGCTTGTGGTTTACAGTGGAGGAGGGCAACGGCAACATCACCAACATTGCTCAGTTGTGTGAGAGAGGATTTTGCATCCCCTTGTTTAAGGGTAACCGTCTCATATAGACACATTTCTCATTCAGACACAAAGGATAAGACCTATTAGCCTGCTTTTCGTGGTGTTAAATGCCACCCCCCCCTTGGCCCTCCTCCGGAAGTGCCGATACGACTTCCGCGATGGGTGGAGAGGGCTGCATGGCCAATACTGCTGGGAAGGAGCCATGGAGCGGGTGAATCAGAGCTTTGGCGGTCCTCCCATCGCTTCGCGTTCGAGCCGTGGCAGGAGGCTAATAATAGACTCAAAAACAAGAGCAGACCCACAAAGAGGGTGATTTAATGGAAGAAATATGGAAACGATGGAAGATGATGAACCGGCAGCGAGTCTTGGGAGTGAAAAGAGATACAGCAGACAAATAAAAGTCCGACTGAATGCAAACTGCGCATTTTGTAATAAAGGGCAAGCCATCTTCCAGCATATTTTCTTTCATTTTCCTAAATGGAAAGCAAGGAAACGATGGTGATGATCCACTGAGACACTGAATCACCTGCAATAACCTCTTCCCTGTTCAGGTTACTGGGGCATTTTTAACTCCCCCACCCTCGTCCTGCAATATGTCGGGAAAGATCGCGGAATCTGGGTTTTTGGGGGCTTGACCAAGCGAGGCTGGCAAATGACAGCCCAAATTTGGGGCAGATGTTTTATACAGGATGCCGAGCTAATTGCAACAGCAAGCTGAGCCATTTTAAAATTTTGGATGAAGATTCTGTTTTTCAAACCTGACTGGAGGTGAACGTTGCCGCGTGGGGCTATATATATATATGTGATGGAAAGAAACCCTGGGGAAAGGGAGGTGAGAAGAGGGGGTAGCTAGGTCTGGCCGGCAGCCCTGGAAACTTAACTTCGATCCGGAGCCCACGTCTGCTTCTCTCTTCCCGCAGCAGGCTCAGTCAGTTGCGCCTAGGCCAGCGCGCCGCTTTGCCCCGTCCTGAGATCATCCCTCCAAACGCGTCTAGGCTACTGTCGCCTGGAATGTTGAGAGCCACGGTTCGCTGCGCTCCGCGGATTTTCCCGCCGGCGCGCGACTCGCTTGGATCAGCCGCTCTAGCTAGCGCCAGTGGCTGTAGCCTCGGGATTCCAGAAAAGCACACTCACCTTCCTAGGGAAGCTTGTCTCCAAATTTAACGTCTCATTAACTTCTGAGAGGCATCCAAGCCGGGGGGAGGGGGGGTGGTCCTCGTCCAAAGTTGGGTCTCTCTGCATTTGCTCTCTATTTCGCGGCTATGGGGTTGCGATCCTAGGCACGCTTGCTGGGGAATAAAAGCTCCAATGGACTCCGTGGCAGTTAACTCGCGAGCAGCTCTGTCTGCACCTATGCGGCCTTCCCGGGTATCTATTTAATGAGCCCGGTTAAAAGAAAGACACGCGGCACGCCGCAAAAACAGAGAGAAGAAAATAAAACTACAAACAACCAGCAGCTCCATCCATGAGGTCATAGCGAGGAGAGATTTTCAGATGGGGAAGAGGAGGAGAGAGGCGATTTAGGATTGCACAGAATCTGCGGTTGTTTGTGGTCTGGAAAGGAATGATGTTCTGGCTAAAGTTGCGGCCACGGGAGGGAGGGAGCCCTTCTAGACTTGCCTGGTGAACAAACGTGCACAGGATCAAGGTGTAGCTCGCAGATCCTACAAAAGCATTTGCTTGGGACAAGCAGTTCGACCTGCTGTCAAGTAAGATGTTCAGGATCTAAACCAGAGGCTGTAACTACAGAATCGGCCCCACTGTATCCACTGAGACTTACTTCTGAAATAAGGATGAGATGTGATAGAATTCTCTGCACGCGTAACTAGAAGTAAACTTGACTAAAAGTTATAAGGACTTCTTCCTACTCAAGATGAAGCTGGTAAAGACCTGGCATATTTATTATGCTCTCCAAGGCTTTGTGGACTTAAATCCATCAGATCATGCATGTTTGAGTGCTCGTTTCATTTCTCTCTGACCTCGCGAACAGGACTGGCAAATCTGAAGTAAAACCTGCTGAAAGAATACCCAGCCGTTCAGACACTACGTTGGAAAAATCCGAATCCCGGTCTCCGGAATATAAACGTGGTAACTCACCTCAGCGACGGAGAAATCTGGTTTTAGCTTTCGATCCCCGAATCGCTGGCCGTTCCCCTTGCGGCTAGGGAGAGAAGAGAAGAGAGGTGTTGTTGTGTTTAAAAAAGGTGACTGACACATGGGGGGGGGGAGGAGGTTGCCTTCGACGCTTTCCGAGAAACAGTCAACGCGAAGCCACCGGATTGTCGCCCCCTGCTTTGACAGAAACGGGCTCGCTTGGCGTAAGGTGCAACGGTCCTTTGGGACGTCGCGGCCCTTGTCCCAATCTGCTCCGCCCTGTCAAGAAAACGTCGCGCCTCTAGCTAAGAGAGATAAACCGAATTTAGCAAGCAGGGGGTGTCCGGGGCAGTCTCCCACTCCACGACCGCCGACCTCCCACCCCGCCAGCGCAAGACTTTATAAGTTAGTTAGCTTTCCCCGCGATCTGATTCTTTTCTCCCTTCCCCAATCGGAGTTTGGGGTTCCTCAGATGTTCTACCGCTTTCCCTTAATGGCAGAGACGGTACTAAAGAACCGTCTGAGGCCAACGCAGTTCCTCTCTCTCTGCTCCAGGTTTATGCAATCTCTGCTGCTGCGATTAAGGATGGTGGAAGCCACGCGATTGCCTGTTGCGCCCTCCACCTTGGCTTGGGTTCCCCGGACATAGAAAGCGCAAGGTTTGGCAAGAAGGAGGGGAGAAAGCGGGGTGGGTAGGTGGGAGGAGAGAGAGAGAGAGAGAGAGAGAGAGAGAGAGAGGTGAAGTGACTAATCCAAAGTTAGCATACTCCTGTGCTTCTCTCCCCCCCCCGACACACACACACACTTCTCCTTTTATATATATATTAAAAAACCCGCTCCCTGGAGCGCGCTTGCTTGTAGCGATAAAGATCTGAACATGTACAGAAGGCGGGTTTTACACGAGGAGGTGAGGCTCCAGCAGCCAGCCAAGAGGCTTTTGCGGGAAGAGGTTCCACCCACTTGAAAACAAAACTTTCCCCCCCTCCAGGGTCTGACATCAGTGGAGTCGGGTAGGGAGCTCGGGAAGAGGGAAGCGGAGAAGACGCGGGGGAGGCCATTCGGAGCAAGGACTGGAGGCCGACGAGGAGGGCCGAGCGTTGGCTATCATCTCCTTGACACTTTTCAAAACTCGCCCAAGTCGCTTTTTTTTCCTTTTCTTTTTCTCCTGCGCGGAAAGGGAGGGAGTGGGGGCTCCGTCCTTTCTGGAGTTGGTATGTGAGGAGCGCTCCCAGCCCAGTGCCATGTATTGGAAGAGCAACCAGATGTTTGTGTGTAAACTGGACGACAAAGACGTGCCTGCGCTTCGCCTCGCGACGGAAAAGGTGAGCCCGCTGCCTCTTCTTCCCCCTGCGAAGACGAGAGACCCTTTTCCTTAAGCGGATTGCCTCCCTGGCAGTCTGTGTAAAAGTGGAGTGGATCCGAATTTGCCCCCAGAGATACCAGCTGCTATGCCCTTTGCTCCGGAGTAGTTTCATTTCATTGCAGCGGGGGGCGAATATTTCGCGTTAAGCGGTTTGCTCATCGCAGCTTAAGACCCGTCCAGGAATTCCCCCCCCCCATGTAATTTTAATTACATTTCGTAATTTTATAAAGTATCCCCACCCCCACCCCTCCTCTTCCTTTGAAATGCGCTTTTTCGTGTGGTGGAAACGACTTCCCCTTCCACTCCTGAAGGCAAATTGGCACGGTTCCACCTAACGTCTGTAAGCGCTTGACACCCCTTACTTGGTGTGTCTGTGTGTGGAAAGCTAGGGTTGGTTTTTTTTTTTTTTTTGGTGTGTTTTTAACTGTAGATCTAAAATATAAACAAATACCTGAATTTCCAGCTGAAAAGGGGGGGAAAGAAATAAAGAAAAGCGCGCGCCAGCACACGAAAACAAGTTTAGTAGGAAACGTCTGCAGGCGAAAGAGAGAAATCGAATATTTGGCGCACGGAGGACTGACACCGCTTCCACTTCTTACGAAGGACGCCGCTTCGACTTCATACAACGGAGTAGTCCCTTAAGGCATCGCTGGCTTTTGAGGATTTTTTTTACCGTGCCCCGATTTCGCTTCGAACTGTCCCTAAAGCAAGCGGGTGACAGACGTCAGGCTTGCATGACCTACTTTTTCTTTTGGTGCCCAAGCCAAACCGTTTAGAATTAAAGAATCTGCATTGAGTTTATCAGAACTGATGGGAGCTCGCGGTCGGTCCACCCACCAACGCATCCATACATCCCTCCGTGTCGGCAGCATAATTTAGAGGGGGTGGGCAAGTCTTTTCGTTGCTGCTGCTCAGCAGTTGGTAGCCAGGAGTCCTTTGCAAACCAAAGACCTGCCAGCAGACCCGTATCTGCCTCCTGTTCACCCCTCTTTTAAAAGGCAGTTAATTCCAGCGGTTTTGGGTTCCCCCCTACATCTGTGGCGATCGGCGCGGTCAGAATCCTTCAAACTAGCTCGGCTGCCTTCGATGGGGCTACTCCGGGGTAAGTGATCGCAAGCAGCCTTAAACCAGACCGTGCGCCAAACCCTCAAGGGCCGCCGCATTTCCTAGTCTCTGTTCAAGGAATTCTAAAAATGAATGCAATATACTTATTCACTGGAATCATAAAACCGTAGGGCTGGAAGGGACCCCTGGCCCGGGGGTCATCTAGGCTAAACCCCTCGCAATGCAGGAATCTCAACTAAAGCACCCATGGCAGATGGAAATAGAAGCCTTGCTTAAGCCAAAACGAAAAGACATTTAAACCAGAGCAAATTGTTTGCAAGGGCTCGAGTAGAGCCTGTTGGGTTGGGGTTGGCTTTTTAAGGGTTCTGGGGGATAGTGTTCCCCCCTTTTTTGCTGTAACCTTCCTGCCTCTTTCCATTGTGCTTTATACTACTTACCTGCGCATGGGAAACGTCAAATCGTGCGCTGCATCTATAGACGCCGGTGGGGAACAAGTCCCATGGAAACATGCAGGGCTGGCTTCTGTGTAGGCCCGGGACGGTGGATGGCGCGCAGCCTCTTCCGTCGCAAAGATTTCGGCAAAGCAAGGAGCCGGTGGACTAGCTGCAACCCGGATAAAATTATTACTCGGGGTCAGGAATGTGTCCCCGAAACTAGCTCTGCCTCCTTCCACGAGGCTACTCATTTATACCCCGGATCGGGGCGCTCTAGATCGGGTCGGGCTCCGCTTCGCCCCGGCTATGGCGCCCAATGGTCAGGGATGATGTAGGAGGGCGCAGTGCCCGCTATCTCCGCTCCAGATGATCTCTCTCACATTTCATCTTGGCGATTCAGGTGGATCGGACATGCATCGCCCACATTCACTGACATCTTAACCGATGGGATTGCGGGGTAATTAATCCGCATCGGGGTGGCATCCCTTGCCAGGGAGCAAAGCTCCATTGGAAACAGTAATCGGGTTCAGGATTGCCCTGCGACTTTGGATGGAGTCGGCTGCTTAGCTAAAGGGGGCTCTGGGCGCGGGCTTGACTGGCCGAGGGTCGCCCTCCGCCGGCTTTGTTCCGCGCGCCTAATGGAGGCGAGCGCAGCGCCCAGGCGGAGTTGGCGCGAGCGCTTTTGTCCCTCGCCTCGCTCGGCCTGGCCGCGCCAAACGGCTTCCTCAAGCGCGCGCCCTCCCTCCAAATTGGCCAAGGGGGCCATTGTGTTTAATGACCCCCCGAATTAAATTCAGCTGCCTGGTTTCTATTCTCCTTTCTCTTCTGGTGACGTTCCCTTCTTCCTCTTCCCCCCCTTTTTTTGTGGCCTCAGCTTAACGAAATAAATAAATCCTCGAGTCTAAGCAGCAGCCCCTCGGCCTGTTGACTTCGGCTCGAGTGCTTAAGTGGCAATTTACACCTCGGAGGCCCCAAGCTGGAAGTGGCAAGGCGGGCTCTAATTGCGGAGGGTATTTGGAGGCCGCGCAAGCTGAGGCATTTTCATTTAAATCGTGCCCGGCACGAGCGCCGGGCGGGCGAGGTCTTGGGCTGCTGCTGGAGGAGCGGCAATTAGTGCTCAAGGGCCCCATTGAAGCGCTGATGCCTCGGGGCCGACTTCGCCCCCTAATTGCCGCCGTTTAGTTTTGGCTGGAGGGGAGGGAAGGATGGTCGGCAGCCCCTCTTTCCTTCTCCTATGACGAGCCTCAGTTTTCGGCGGCCTTCGGCGAGCTCAGCCGTCTGGTCTTTCTTCGCAGTTCCCGAGGCTCATGGCTGAGGAGTGTGGGCGAGTTGCAGTAGCAGCGGCGGCGGCGGCGGCGACCGCGACTGGGAGAAGACGGAAAAGCGCGGGAGAGACGGGGCTGGTAAGTCAGCGAGACGCGGGTGGGATGGAGCGACGAGCGCTGCTCGAGAAACGGACTTTCCTCCTAGTCCGTGAAGGGAGCTGAAGGAGAGACGGCGTGTCTGAGGCGACAGGGGACTCTTTGTGTGTGGGCAGCGCGAGAAAGGCGGGAACGCGGCATTAGCGGGCGGCCAGGCGGGCGCGTGGCTTCGCAGTCTCTCCCGCCTGCCCCGACCCAGTCAGGGCACTCACTGGGTGGCCTTCAGGTCGGGTTGGGTTCTCTTCTGAGGGAGATTTGTGAGGGCGAAGGGGCACAAACACGAAGAAGGGCGCTAGGGAGAGAATATTCAACCGTAGTAGGAACTGAGGGGAGCCCCTCTCCCTATTATCAGTTATTTTATCAGTAGTATTGGCGGGGAACCTCGGCTGAGGCGGCTGGTTTAAGGCAGCGCTCGCCATGGCAGCTGGATCTAATGATTGGGCGGCGGGGAGAGGACGATAGAGGCTCCTGAGGGAAGCAGGCCCGTGGGGAGGGGTCGCAGGCCCGTGTGTATTAATCTGCTCGTGTCCGTGTGGCAGGTGAGCCCCGAGGTTGCCGGAGACGAGGATTCGTGCTCGCCGTCCACCCCGCTCTCGCCTTCTTCGTCTTCTCCGCGCTCGCTGAATTCGGGCCCGGGCGGATGCGCGCCCAGCAAGTGCATCTGCAGCAGCTGCGGCCAGGAGATAATCGACAAGTACCTTCTCAAGGTGAGTTGGAGGGCTTTGCAAGCCTGGGCCTTGGAGCGGGAAATGAATGGGCTTCGAGCTCACAGTGGGGCTTCAAGGAAGGCCAATCTGTCCACCAGGATCCTAGATTTTTTGCTCTCCTGAAAGGATCACCTCCTGATACACTCTGGAGAGGAGAGATTGTGCTTTCCAGCAGGTGATCATTGAAAGTTACTTAAAAAGCACACTTCTTTGGTCAATAGTACCTTTTGAACGAGTTTGGTTTTTTTAAGAGCTCTTTTGCAGGGAATCACCTCCAAAAAGTACTGCTAGAAAATGCTATGGGCCTTTGCAGAGGTTTCCCACCCTCCTCCTAGAAATACAGTAACTTATTTCACTTTACTTGGATATTTGAGAAACCTGAAAACTGAAATCACTATATATTTAGGGAGATTTGCTCACTGAATTTGCAACACTATTTCTTTGCAGTCAAAATCCTTGACTACTGGGCTAGTCTTAACCTTCGGTGTTATATTTAGGATCATTTGTTTAGTGCACATATTTGCTACAAAACAGGGCCACTGTTTTGACAAATTCAAACTCAGAATTATTTTGCAGGTTTTAAAAGCTGCCTTACTCAAGTGAAGTTTCCTCTTCGGCTTATAAATGTCATATGTGCACTAGATCATGGGTTAGTAGGCACTAATCAAAACTGAAGTCTGGTTTTGTTGTAAAAAGCCAGATAATTTGGATTTCACAATCATCAGACTGTCTTGAGTTTGTCAGTAGATTCCTATAAGAGGCTCCAAATCTGGGCCATGCTGAAACTAGGAAATAGCTTAATTTTTTCCTGCTCACTCCTGAAGTGTCTTAAATACCACTTTACAACACAATACAATAAATATCTACCTAGGAGCTTACTTCATTGGCTGCAGTAGGACTTACTCTCAGGTTAATGTGTGTAGAATCGCAGCATTCAATAGCATCCATACTTTTAAAATCTGAAGTGGAAAGTTAAATATAAACAAATCTGGAAGCATAATGCAGAGTCACGTGTTGTAGAATGCATATATTTTACCCTGCTGTTTGGTTCATGAAACGGTGCCTTAGTAAAAGGTCTTCTTCTGGCTGAATATAAAATTTTAATTATTCATCTGCCCTGGCCAGATAATCTAAGGAGGTTATGTGTTCAAAATAGATTGCACTTGCAGCATTAGGAATAAATACGTTCCATTGCTTTAAGCTTGCTGGAGACATAAAAGTAAATTACCAGTTTTCAAAATTTGGATGAAGAAACAAAATTTCCGAAATCCCCAGTGATCATAACCACCAGCTCAGAAAACGAATCTGAATTGGATATGTATTTTCTTGTGGTGCTCTTTTTTCCTTTTTCCTTTTTTTGAGGTGCCAGAAATTAAAAGCCAACCTGAGATTGCATTTGATATTCTTACTTAATATTTGATTATAATTGTAATATTATATGTATGGGCTTATGGAGGTGCAACTGTTGGCTCCTGTATTTGAAAGGAAATTAGTCTGTATCTTTTTCTTCCTTTTTTGTTTGCCAGAAGTTCTATGAATGCCTGGCAGCTAACATAGGGTGAATTTAGGAAGCAGGCATGAAACAAGATTTTAAAAATAATTTTTGGGCTTATCCTGCCAACATGGCACATTTGGGGAATTATTGTGTGTGAGCATTGCAGTATATCTGCACACAGAATATGGGAGCGGATATTTGTCATCTGAAGTTTGGTATAATACAGGCATAGGCAAACTCGGCCCTCCAAATGTTTTGGGACTACAACTCCCATCATCCCTGACTACTGTTCCTGTTAGCTATAATAATAATTTATTTATACCCCACCCATCTGGCTGGGCTTTCCCAGCCACTCTGGGCAGCTTCCAACAAAATATTAAAATACAATAAGGCATCAAACATTAAAAGCTTCCGTAAACATGGCTGCCTTCAGATGTCTTCTAAAAGTCTGGTAGTTGTTGCTCTTTGACATCTGGTGGGAGGGTGTTCCACAGGGCAGGTGCCACTACCAAGAAGGCCCTCTGCCTGGTTCCCTGTAACTTGGCTTCTCGCAGTGAGGAAACCGCCAGAAGGCCCTCAGCGCTGGACCTCAGTGTCCAGGCAAAACGATGGGGGTGGAGACGTTCCTTCAGATATACTGGATCGAGGCTGCTGCTGCTGCTACTACTACTACTACTACTACTACTACTACAACATTTGGACCCCACCTTTTCTCCAAGGAGCTCAAGCTCATGTATATGATTCTTCCCCCCTTCCTTTTTTCTCTCACAACAATCCTGTGAGGTAGGTTAGACTGAGAGTTTGTGATTGGCACAGGGCCACCTACTGAACTTCATGACCAAGTGGGGATTTAAATCCTAGTCTTCCAGATCCTAGTCAAACACTTGAATGAAGAGTGAACCCTTAGCATAAAACAGCTTGAGGTCTCCAAAAATGTTTCCAACTGCTGATTAAAAAGTAACGTAATGCAGACTGCAAGGATAAAGTGGTAATACTACATAGGACTATTAATTGTTTATGCTGCAGATCAAACTTGTGATGATTAGGCTGCATCTGGAGTTCTGTGTCCAGTTGTGGGTGCCGCACATCAAGAGGTCCAAGCTGGAGGGTGCTCGGAGGAGAGCAATCCAGATATCAAAGTGGGTCTAGATACCGAATCCTATGAGGAATGGTTGAAAGAGCTGGTTGTGTTTAGCCACCCTAGAAGAGAGACTATTAATGGGAGACGTGAGGCTGTTGTGCAAGATGGAGTGAAATTGCAATTGTTCAGCATTAGAAGAAACCTCTCGAGCTGTTCAGCACTGTAGCATGGCTCCTTGGGAGCTGATGGTCTCTTCTTCATTGGAGGCATTGGGAAGTTGGAGCAGATGATTTCGGGGACCCTTGAAGCTCTGTGCTTCTTTGACTTCAGTTGTTATGAACATGTTCCGTAGCCCTCCGTACTGCTGCTCCTAGCACTGGTGGTGAAGTCAGAGAGAGAGAATAATGCTTGTTTGTGAATTAGGTAGTTAATCTTTTTCACTGATGTGACTTTGTTTCCAACCCGGGGAAAACAATGTGGCAAATACTCTTTCCCTCTTCCCATTATTGAAGAAACAAATACAGGAGTGTTGCATTGTAGCTTACTGGTAAATTCTTCTAGCATGGGGAGTATGTTTATACGGTTACAGCAAATACCACCGACAATCGGCAATGGTAAACTCTGCAAGCAGGGTTCAATCATAGTTGGTAGGATTGTTTATGCTGTTTCAAGGCTTAGGCAATGTTGTTTATGTATGTTTTGTGTACATCGTGCTCATTTCAGAAGGTCACGGTAAGTCAGTTACGTGACTGTTATGTGATCAAAGGTAGTTCAAAACTGGATTCAAAACTCCAAACTTTCAGTTACAACACTGCACCTTAAATAACATTTTTAAAATTAATACAGTGATGAATTACCATCAAGGACTATTAGTTTTCCTTCAGCATCTGACTTCACTGATTTGATCATCCCTCTAACTTTATCAAACATTAAATTCTTGTTTCTTAGGGGGTTTTTTAGTAAGGCTGCTGGCATTTTTGAAATGGCGTAGCGGACAACTAATATATCTATTTAGTGTTCTGTATCTTGGGTTATTACCAAATCGCTAAGTGACAATCAATTGAGCTACAAATATTCTGAAAAACTTTATTCTTGCTATTAAAACTTAGTACAGTGGTTCACCAAGTGGATGGTATCTCTCCGGGGGGGACGGGACTAAGAGGCGTGGGGGTGAGGGTGGGTGCTGGCGGTATGCCACTCTAAAGCCTTTGATTGCTTCTTTACAAAGGCCTGGCTAGAGCACTAGAGCAAAAAAACACCACCTTGGTATTTCATGTTTTATTGCTCTTATCACTTTCAAAGCCATTTCCTTTGGTCACATTTGTTTTTATTTACGATTCTGAATTGTTACAAGGTACCCAATCATTGGTAATAGGTAACTGCTTCCCTTACAAATAATTTTCTGTATATCTGTGGTAGGTGAAAGTTTGTGTTTGTTTGGTAAGTAGCTACATATAAATATTTTAGGCTATAGATTTCCTTCACCCTTTTGTTTTTATTAATGATGCAATAAAAAAAAGTTCATGCAATATTGTTTGCTATATATTCTTTAAATTACAAGATTAGAGTTTATGAATTCATTTTTTATATTTATGTTCAGAATAAATGTAAAATTACTACTGTTTTGAGTTTTACTGTGTTATCATCTTTGGTGGGTTGTGCAAACCACTGTTTTGAATAATGCTTTTTATAAGATAGGATATAGAGGGCACTGGGGGTGAGTTGAAGAAGCCAGTAGGGCAGTGGTCCCCCAAAAGTATGGGAGCCACTGATCTAGCAGAGGATTAAAACATGTCTGTTCACACAATTCACTCTGGTTGTGTCTATTACCTTGTCAGCACAAGTAATAAATGCAGCTAGGATATAGTTTGCTATGTGATCAACTACAACAATTGCACATCGGCTGTTTGGTTTGAGAGCATGGATCATTCATCAGCTCCATCACTTAATGTAGCCAAGCAAGATAACCTCCACTACGGTTGTGAATGATCCATGGTAAGTTTCATATAAAAAAGCACCTGAATAAGTGTTTCACTTTCTCATGCTTTAAATGGTAAGCTCTGCAGGGCAACTTCACCCCTTAAGTGCAGTTCAAGGTGATATGGTGTCAGCTAAAACTGCCTTTCTGGATTAAACAGCTCCATAGTCATCCATGCTATGTTGCCCTCTTCCCATAATGTTCTGTTAAAGCTTACACAAACACTTATTCTAAAGGCTAGAATAACTTGAATAACTTGAATATAAACTTGTGTCCAAAGTCTTGACTAGCTTTTGACTTGGGGCATGTTTGTGCTAGCTCATTTTCATGTGATATGTCGTTGAAAATTGCTCAAGTAAAGGCTACACCTTTATATTTTTATTCTGTCGCCCTTGTTATAGCCTGACCAGCAGGGGTGGTGGTGGAGGAGGCCTATGGGAGCTTCACCCTCCAGAATACTTGCCCCTTCTCTACCTTTTAGAAGCTTGTTTTATTACTTTGCAGTATATCTGTTTGCCATGTAAGCAAAGGTAAATTACCAGTGAGACTCCAGCCACTTGCAGTCTTAATTCTCCCGCAGGCAAATTAAACCCTGAGAGCAGGAGCTAGAGTTTGTGTGTTTCCTTCTGAAAGGTGCCTTAAAATCACATCTTTACATTTAAATCAGAATTTGTATGTTTGGCCTCTGCCTCAAGTCTTTTATGCCCATGCTGACTTACGAATACTTATTGCTCATTTGCATGAAAATAAATAACCCATTGCTGCTAACTTATTTATTCAGGTGAATTGTGTGAGCAGGACTGGAAAATCAACAAAACCACCCCCTCAAATAAAATTGGGGAATGCAGGAACAAAACAGTTCTCCCTTAAGATGCTTTTGTGCTGTTCTGTTTGGTCACTGTAGATGCACAGTCCCTCTGGGGAGAGAAGCTGTTTCTGGATTTCCACAAGTGGCTTTTCTTCCTTGCATTAAACAGAGCTCTGGCATGACTCATTTGTGTCAGTAGGGCTTGTAGTGGAGAACTTCTCGATGAATTGTGCCCCTCTTGGGTGTAAAATTATTATTATTATTACTAGTAGTAGTAGTATTATAAATTCCATTTGTGATTGCTTTTTAGATCTGTGGATTCTCACACTTGAGAGTCCTAAGTATTACTGTGAACTTTATTTCTTCAAGCCCTGTTTATATAGTTTGCTTAAACCACTGCTACCAAATGTAAAATTTCTTTCTCCTTTCATAGGTAAATGACTTGTGCTGGCATGTGCGGTGTCTCTCTTGCAGTGTATGTAGGACTTCTTTGGGAAGGCACACCAGCTGCTATATCAAAGACAAAGACGTTTTCTGCAAACTAGACTATTTCAGGTATACTATGCTTTATTTACGTATGTGTTTATTGCATGTATGCATCAACTTTTTGTCAAAGCATTCTAGGTGGTTTATAATATGAAACTATGAAATGTAAAACTGTCCCTATTGGAGGCGGTCAGTCAACTGGAGCAGACCTGATGTTGTTTGCCTCCCTCCATCGCTCTTCTTTCCTCTTATAGGGCAGGTGGTATCTTGTAATTACAAAATACTAAGATTATGACAGTAGACCCATGAATTTTTGTGTTTTATGTGCATGGACGCATCCTAGTACAAAGGGCTTATTTGCACAGCAGTGCTCATAACTGAAACACACTATTGGCTGAGCTGGCAAGAACTATTGGAAGTTGAGCCCAACGATACCCAAAAAGGACACAGATTCCCTATCCCTGCTTTAGTGTCATTTGGTAGCCGTTATTAGGCTACTTTCTGGGTAGCTGCTCTTGAACCATTCCCTCTACATCTTGTTGTCCTCTTAACTTTTTTTTTATTGAAAAATGTTTATTTTTAGTTATTTAAAAAATCTGAAAAAATATGGCCCTTCACAAAACAAACAAAACCTGCAGCATTCATGCCAGAAATTGGAAAACCAAATAAATCTTTTTAGGAACAGTTCCCCTTAATTTAAGGATTGCATAACTCAAAGAATGTATACGACAAGTGGACCACAGGCTGGACCATACTCAAAGCTGAGTATTTTCCAGTCCATCTAACAGCAGAATACTATGCATATCCTATGAATTTTAAATGGAACTCACTCACAGGAAATTAAAGGATTGTAGCCTATTTCTCCCACTGAGCTAACAAAGTGCTTAATGTCATTTGTATATATCCTGACTGAAAGAATTGCTGCAGAAGATCTGTTAGAAATATATATATGCACGCACCAACAAACAGTGTCATGGAGTGGTCTGGGATAGAGCATGACTGGAAGAGTGTAGTTATCTGGAATTACTTGCAATCTGATGAAATCAATCTCAATATTATAACTTCAAAAAATGTTTTCGATTAAGCCCTACTGCCATCTTCCTGTTTCCATCTACTCTCGAAAACTGCAATTGTTTCCTCCAGAAGGAAAGTATTTCTGTTGCATGCCAACACTTTGGGGAGTAAACTACTCCCGTTTCTTCTTTACAGACCAAGATAAAACATGGAAATACTTTGCTGCTAGAGTAAGCTACTGCCATTGAAGGTGTAAGGAGAAACTCACCCTTTGCTATCTAAAGTGCTTGGGGTTTCTGACTGTAATAAAAGTACCTGGCCTTTCATCCTGAATAACACCTAATATGTCTGTTGAAAAGTCAGGAGAAAGAACTTGGAAACAGTTTTTAAAACTGACAGTCAGATCCACGAAGCCTACAGATGTGAAACTGTGAGGTGCTCTTCAGAAATGCACCAAGTGCTCACTTGCATTGATTTTTTGACATTGTTTTGTACACTGGTGAGAGTAATAGAATTAATTCTCAACATCTTCCCATTCTTGTCCTTCTGTTTCAGTGCCAATGATGGAGGGGAATAGTGTCTAAACAGCAGAAAAATATTGTCGTAAAATGGCTCTAGTCAGACTCTTGCCATTATAATGCTTTAGTAACAATTCATTTGGATTACTGCAATGCACTCTACTTGGGGATTCATTTGGTGCAGAATTCTGTCTGCTTTCACAACATTCGCCTAACTGTTACCGTATTTTTCGCCCTATAGGGTGCACTGGCCCGTAGGGCGCACCTAGGGTTTTTTTGGGTGGGGGGAATAAAGAAAAAAAATTATTTCCCCCCCCCCCAGGCACGGGGCTGGGACGGGGGAAGCCCGAGCTTCCCCAGCCCCCAGAACAGGCTGCTATCCGCAAGCCTAGGGAGCCTGGCGGGAACTCCCGCGGGCTCCCAAGGCTTGCGGATAGCTTCCTAAAGCCTGGAGAGCGAGAGGGGTCAGTGCGCACCGACCCCTCTTGCTCTCCAGGCTTCAGCGAAAGCCTGCATTCGCCCCATAGGACACACACACATTTCCCCTTCATTTTTGGAAGGGAAAAAGTGTGTCCTGTAGGGCGAAAAATACGGTAATTTCCAAATTATATTTGAGGGCCTTCTCAGTGGTGGTGCCCACCCTGTGGAACGCCCTCCCATCAGATGTCAAGGAAATAAACAACTATCTGACTTTTATCTGAAAGCAGCCCTGTTTAGGGAAGCTTTTAATGTTTGATATTTTATTCTGTTTTTAATCTCTTGGGAGCCGCCCAGAGTGGCTGGGGAAACGCAGCAGGATGGGCAGGGTATAAACAATTTATTATTATTATTATTATTATTATTATTATTATTACTACTACTACTACTACTACTACTACTACTATTTATTTAGCTTTCACACAACTGGAACTATAGTGGAGTATAGTGTCCTCATTTCCATGTTTTTTTATAAACAGATTGTCCCCCTGCCCCCAAAAGCCAATAACCCAGAAATGAGCACAAAGCTTGCACTATTTTCCACTATAGTTCCATAAGTGGCTTATGTGTGAAAATGCAAATATAATATGGAACTTAATGGTCATTAAAATGGAATGAACCGCCATGTGAATGCAGCCTGTATTGCAAACGTCCCGTCCCTCCGCTTTTTACCTCTTTAATGCCCTAAATGGCCTAGGCCAGGGGTCGGTTTACCTTGCCTGGGCTGGAGCAGTCCTGCAGAGAACCCTCCATGGGCTGGGTTCTCGCCTGCGATTTCCGGCATCTGCGTGTGCGCAGACATGATTTCTGGCGCTGCAGAAGTGAGTTTAGCGCAGCACTCCAGGACTCGCCAAGCGGGCAGCTCAGTTCTGGGGTGGCTCGTGGGCCAGTTAAACAGCCAGTGTGGGCCGCACGTTGCCGACCTCTGGCTTAGGCTCTTTGTACCTGAAAGAGCAGCTTTTCTCTGCATATTTCCCTCCATTGCCTGAGCTAAAGAGGGGAAACGCTACTATGGCTTCCCTCTGTTTTTTTCATAGTTGAGTTTGATGAAGCAATGTAGGTCTTGATGGTTCCACTGACTCTTAGAACTCTTTAGATCAGAGGTGTCTATCCACCTCATAATAATATCACATTCTTTTGGTTAGTTGTCTAAGCCGACTGCTGAAAGAAATTTCCATGGTGTTGCCTAACTGTATGGACTGTTCCTGCTGAGTTATTTTGTAGTTTCATTGCTGTTTTTGTGCTGTTTTTTTTTGGGGGGGGGCTTTTTATTGTACAAAGTTTTGTGAATTAAAGATTAGTTGCCCTCCTATTTTTTTTTTATGGTAATAAATTATCATCTCCTGGACACAGATGGTAATATATGTATGGAGTAAGGAGGAATAGCCTACACCTTTTTAAAAGAAAGCTATAGAATGAAAAGGTGTAGGGTTCTGCCTGACTCAACACTTCCTGTCTTGGATAGCAGGTATTAAACTCAATTTTTTTAAAGATACCCCTGCTACGTCAAGATATAATCTCATGTAACGCCATGTGTATGACATAACAGGGCTCCTGGGCTGACTTGCCTCAAAGCGGCATGACTTGTCCTTATGAGATCTCTTATGATTCCCACAAGAATGCATAAGGGAACGTCATCTCAAAAGTTCAAACATTAATTGCAAAGTCAGGCAATCCTTTTTTTTCTGAAGCAGTTGAGTGGAACTTAAGCAAATCCCAGCTTTCAATGAGACTAGTAGCATTTATGATGAACTTCATAATACCCGTAATGTAGCTTCATAATCTAACTTGAGTGGCAGTTGTATGATGAATGGCTGCTATTTTCTCTTCCCTTCTTTTGTTACAGACGGTATGGAACTCGTTGTTCTCGCTGCGGCAGGCATATCCATTCCACTGACTGGGTCCGAAGAGCTAAGGGAAATGTGTATCACCTGGCATGCTTTGCCTGCTTCTCCTGCAAAAGGCAGCTTTCCACAGGGGAGGAGTTTGCTTTGGTGGAAGAGAAAGTCCTCTGTAGGGTACATTATGACTGCATGTTGGATAATCTGAAACGAGAAGTTGAAAATGGTAACTCTCCTTCTTGATGTTAGGTCCCTAGGCTGTATTCCTTTTTTTGTTTGTTTGTTTCATGTGGAGGGAAAAACACACACACACCCCAGTAGATTCTGGAAACCAGATTAACTTGATCATTTGCTCCGTAAATAACGTATAAATGTAGCATGCATGCAATCACATGAGAAGTTGGTCATCTGTAGTTTTCACCCTTGTTCTCAGGAGCATTTTACCTCTCCTCTGCTTTCCTCCAGTGTTTTTAATCTGTGGCATTGGCAAAGTAAAATTCTCCATGCCACACAGGCCACTTCAGATTGCCATAATTGCTTGTAGGTGGATGCTAGTGGTGCTATGTTTGCACTTCATTAAAAAGGAGGGGGGCACCACTGTTGCTCCTGAAGTTTGCAGATTTTTCAAAGCATGGTATCCCAAGTCCATTACAGTGGTACCTCGGGTTACATACGCTTCAGGTTAAATATGCTTCAGGTTACAGACTCCACTAACCCAGAAATATTACCTCAGGTTAAGAATTTTGCTTCAGGATGAGAACAGAAATTGTGCAGTGGCAGTGCGGCAGCAGCAGGAGGCCCCATTAGCTAAAGTGGTGCTTCAGGTTAAGAACAGTTTCAGGTTAAGAATGGACCTCCAGAACGAATTAAGTACGTAACCAGAGGTACCACTGTACATGTTTGTCCTTCCCAAGCAACGTAGTTCCATTTGATCCACAGTTGCGAAGAAGTGGTGTAGTAAACATTTCTCATTGGGCGGATAGAGTTACACTGTAATTCAAACCCCCTTTGTGACAGGTTTGGGGGTGGGAGTTGGATTGTCTATAGTTTTCCCAAATTCTCCTCAGAACCATCCCTCCCACTCAATGTGCTAGTTGGAGGAAGGGGCCAGCGGCAAGATATCTGTTGGTGGCAGACTGTGGAGAGCTCCATAATGGAGTGTTACAGAGTTGGGGAAGGGCTGGGTTCACCCTGGATCTGCTGGACCCTGAGCCAACTCCACTACCATCACACGATGGCCCAATTGATGCACCAGCTCTGCCATAGTAACTTTCATGCTCCCCCTTCCCATTCCACACCAGCCAGTGTGAATGGCAAGGCTTTGCTGGTGACTCTGCTTCTCCTCTTAAGCTCTGCTGCTCCCCACTTGGGATTTGGATTGTAGTTTAAATGATCTGAAGTTAGCCCTTGACAAGAACTATAAGGAGCTTGATTTTTTTAAATGTCCATAGCATTTAGCATTCTTTCTCTCTACTCGATTCAGAATAAAACTGGTTTTTAATCAAGGCCATGTCATATTCCTGTTTGGTGGTTCATGGATTCTCTTCCTACACCTCCCCCCCCCAAAAAAAAAAAAAATGAAGGCCTGCGCTTGCAGCCAGGACCCTGATCTGAAACATGCTTAAAAAATGGAATACCAAATCTGGTACAAACTCAAGATAATGATGTAGAGTTGCAAAATAATGAAAAATTGATAATTCCATATTCAAGTATATCCTTAATACAAGAAGTCTATTCTAGCGTAATGTCTGTAACTAATGACTGGTGTTGGTACTGTCAAAACTTCGACGTTGTCTTCTTTTTAATTTCAGGTAATGGTATCAGTATGGAAGGTGCATTGCTAACAGAACAAGACATTAATCACCCAAAACCAGCAAAAAGGGCGCGGACAAGTTTCACAGCAGATCAGCTTCAGGTAGAGCCCTGGCATGGTACAATGCCTCTAATGAAAGACAGCTGTAGGTTGTTGGTGTGGGGTGGGAGGGGGGAGGATAATGACTTTATGCTCTGCATCACTTAATAATTATATTAAATATAGCTGGTTATGAATAAATTCTCTCCACTGCAGATATTTCTCCTGGTGTCAAGGGCACAGCATGTTTCTGGAATATTCTTGCAAGTGTTAGCTGTTGTTCCATGTGAAATAGTTACTCTTCAGCGTTTCTGTTTCCCAGAAGGCAGCTGGTAATTCTGTAAAGTGGAAATGTAAATGCTGATCTGTTTTGACTACTTGATGAAATTCATTAAACCAGACATTTCCATCACTACACATAATTATAATAGGAGACTAAATAGTTTCAGTTCTGTGTAACATGAAGAGAAGTACTAGAAAATGTGCAGAATATAACTTTACAGGAAACAGATATTTTCAGTGTCTTGCATTTCACCATAGCTGCCAAACCCAAGTGGCAATCAAAACCGTGGCTCTTCAGCACAGGCATCACTGTCATGTTCAGATAAGCAGAGGCTGAAGCTTAGCAATGGTGGGGGTCAGTATGAACTTTGCAAAACCGATGTCTTTGTGCTCTGGGGGGGGGGGTTTGCATTGCAACAATGTCAATAGAAAAGGAACATGTCACATTCTCCTATGCTACCCCTGAGTTCCGTTAACTACTTTTATTCTGTGGTAGATAAACTTGCATTTCCTTATCACAACCACTCTATTACCTGCCTATTTCCACTTTCGGCTTTATAATTCATTCTTGTCCAGTAGCTTAGTACCATTGCTCCCAAATAAGCATAAATAAATCCAATGCGCGTTGAATCTTAAGTTGCCCCTTTTAAGGCAAAATGCCAACTTCCACATTGGTTTACAATCTCTTAAAATTAAAAGCATTCTAATAAAACAGGATAAGGTACATTTCTATTGATAAAAAGCAATTAGAAAGCAAAAATTGAGCAACAGAAAAAGGGGGAAATTAATCTAAAGTTTGCTGGCATAAAAGTTTTCAGTTCCTATTCAAAATATTTATTTCTGGTGTACTCCATTTGGTATTACTTACATATGTGGGAAATAACCTAGTTTTGGATTATAACATCCACATTATTATGTGCATATAAAAGTGGCTGTTTAAGTTTTTAGTGAGAAGCAATGGCCTGTCTGTTCAGAATGTTAAAATTGCCTTCCATATAGTCCTATACATGTCCACTTAGTTGTAAGTCCACTGAGTTCTGTGAGGCTTACTGCCATGTAAGCAGGCATAAGACCTGCAGCCTTAATGTTGCAACAGGTAGTGCAATGGATACACAGGAAGCTCCATATGTACAGCAGAGCTTTTAGCCCTCAAAACAGCTTTTCCTCACCTCTACCAGCATCTGTTAAATGATACCACAGGAGCTTCAGACTCAGTATTTGAAGTTTTGCTCAGGCGATACGCATAGGTTAGCTTCAGCAGATTCAGGAAAGCACTTGCATGTGCGTAAACAAGTGTTTTGATCTGAGCCATAGGACTATTTATGCACTGAGTCTAGTTCAGGGGTCAGCAAACTTTTTCAGCAGGGGGCCAGTCCACTGTTCCTCAGACTTTGTGGGGGGCTGGACTATATTGAGGGGGTGGGGAGAATGAATTCCTATGCCCCACAAATAACCCAGAGATGCATTTTAAATAAAAGGACACATTCTACTCATGTAAAAACATGCTGATTCCAGGACTGTCCACTGGCTGGATCTGGCCCCTGGGCCTTAGTTTGCCTACCCATGGTATAGTTCTTCTACTTTTAAAATTGTAAACAGCACCTCTTTTTTCCACATCTAAAAATGCCAAATAATATTTAGGTAGCAAACATTTAATTGCCTTAAACTCATGTAATACTTTTTAATTTGGAGTTGTTATTTGGCAATTTTATCAAAGGACTGCAGTGGTTAATGGAATTGACAAGAATCTCATTTCCTTGCCCTTTATAGGAGTAGGAATATTTCATGCATGAAAGTTCACTCATGTAGCTCTGGGTTCAGCCCATTGTGTTGCATCTAGTGATGTTCATCCCATTGTGCAACAGATTTCTGTTCTTGTAACAGGACTTCCCTTTTTTCACTCACCCTGTAGCTCTCTGCACCACCTCAAATATTTGTAGTGTCCCCCAACTCTCTGGAGCAGATTTTGGGACACAGGGAAGGAAAGGGGAAGTCCAGTTACAATATTGACCATTTGAGTTTATATAAGTCATAACTTGGGGTTCTGATATCAACAACTGAATATTCAGTTGACTTGCCTACCCAACCATCAGTAACTCCAGTAGTTTACAGCTAGGTGTAGAAGTATCTTGACTCAATGAAACTTCGATCCTTCCACACCAAAATAGCCATGAGGTTTTCATTCAAAAAATGTAAAGAAATGGCCCTTTATCTCTCTTATAATGATCATCTATAAAGGCTTATGACATACTATAGTTTGTCTGTGCTTTCCTGAACTATCAGTGCAAAACTAAAGATCAAATTAACAATAATGTACACTAATCAAAAATCCACTTTCAACTTGAATAAGCTCCTGAAAGAAGTAGGGAAGAGTAAAAGCTAATTTTCAAAAATCATTTCGCAGTAGGATTCACACAGTACACTTTTGGGCACAGTAACTCCACCAGGAGGTTACATTTAACCATGTCCAGTGGTGTATATGTGCTATGAACGTGCCTTAATGCGCCTTGCCTTTGCAAAAATTAGTATAGCCATTTCTAATTTCTTCTGCCTTCTGTTTCATACTAACATTGTTCATATTTGCAGACATTTTGTAAAGGAGGCCGTGATAGGGCAACAACTAGTTCTTGCCACATGAAGGTGCATTTTTGTAATACAAGTGTCATATAAAATGGATATGATCTGATTGAATAATGATGATGTAGTCACATGAAACCAGCTCTTAGTAACAAATGAGCTGGAATCTTGCTTTGATTTTTTCTTTCTTTCACGTAATGTTGTATTCTAGTGCTGGAGCTAATCTGGTCATTGGGTTAGCTTAGCCTGCCTTGATGTGGTTTAGAAGTCTTTTATGTGGACAATGCACTCCTCAAACTGCTGTTGGAGGTTGGAGCTATATGACTGCATCTTGTTACTTATGCAGTCTGGCTAGTACGTTAAAAAAAAACAGTTTAAAAATAAAAAAATACTTCTTGCATTTTCCAGGTAATGCAAGCACAGTTTGCTCAGGACAACAATCCAGATGCACAAACACTCCAAAAACTGGCAGAAAGAACAGGCTTGAGCAGGCGTGTGATACAGGTAACTGTACTGCAGTTACTTCACAAGTACTGTGAGCAGAGCTTCTCAGCAGCATAAAGCTCCAAAGAACAGTTTTTCTATTGATCAGTATTCCTTAGCTAGAGTAGACCTTGTGTGATGTCTTTTACAGCAGTCCTGAAACATTGATTTTTTTTTTTTGTTTCTTTAGGAAGAAAATGCACATCTAATGTCTTCCATCACATACTTTCACATTGCTGAAGGAACATAATTTAGGGTTGTCTTGCATGTGCCAGCAGCAATGTGAGTGATTAGTGACCCGTGGTGAACAATGACACCAGGAGCCCACGTTAGAAGCTCCCCCAACTTGTTGCTTGTACTAAAGTTCGATGTATCTTATTTTTTAATTTGGGTCTACCTGGCCTCAGTAAAGAGCACACACAGGGAAAAAGTTGCACTGGCATTTATATGGAAGAGGCCCTCAATGGTTTTAAATACTTTGTTTCTTTGATGTAGTTAAATGCCAGATAACAAATACGATGTGCATCTTTTTGTGTCTTTCCATTTTGTGCCTAGGTGTGGTTTCAAAACTGCAGAGCACGCCACAAGAAACACGTTAGCCCCAATCACTCTTCGTCTACTCCTATTACAACAGTCCAGCCTTCCAGGCTTTCTCCACCAATGTTAGAAGAAATGGGCTACTCAGCCTATGTGCCCCAGGATGCGACAATGCTAAATGCTTTGCATAATTTCATGGATGGTAGGTACAGTAGCATGCTATAATTACTTCATAGACTTGAGAGAAGAAAATGTGAAATGCACCCTTTTGCTCAGGGTTGGGCACCACCATGCAACCCACAGGCAGCCAAAAAAAAAGACATACTCATTCTTGTGTCTGGTATTCTTGGGAAATTCTTGTACTGTTTTTCTGTGTTTGATTGGAATATTTTGTATATTTTATCGTTTATATTGTTTGCCACCTTGTGAGACTTTTTCTAAAAGGCAGGATAGAAATTTGTTAGATGACAAATACATTCTAGCTTTTCAGGTTGTTGTCCCTAGTACTCTGCTGCAGAGAGAGGTTGATAAAAAATATTTTGCTCGGAAAGCAAGCAAAAATTCTCCATATATTCTCTGTGCTCATGATAGCATATAGCCCATAAGTCGGGATGTCAAAGCTGTTGGTCTTGCTTCCGTGTGTGCAGAAGTACACCATACCTTTTTTGTTTTGTTTGGCAAGTTCTGCTCCCTAGTTTGGGGAAATAGCCTTGCATAAGCTTAGGCCTTTTGCGTGTTACGGCATTTTGTTGTTGTTTTTTGACCATACCTCTGAAACTGACAATATCTAGGGCTCTTTATTGTAGCAGAGGATCTCTGAATAATGACCCACAGATCTTTCCTCCCCAAATTACATGTTCATGCTCACCTTTTTACATTTAAAAATGTTCACAATTTTTTTTTTAAATGCATGTTCTTATGGACTTCTGTACGGGAATGCTGTATTCAAAACTTTATGGGGGGAAAATACTCGTTATATAGCACTTAAAGTTCACCACAATTCTGTCATCCCGCATATACAAAAGGTTTACGTCAAGCTAGAAACTTTTCCTTAAATCGAAAGGAAGAAGGCCTAATTAGACAGAGTTTAAATAGCTTTCATCTTTCAAATAAGGCTGTATTGTAAAGGGCTTCATATTATAATAAAGCAAGCCTCATGACATCTTAAATGCTATGAAATCTTCAGCGAGCCATAAGCTTTAGGGAGCTGCAGATGCATCTGAAAAGTACTGTAGTTCACAGTAGCTTGTGCCGTAATGAAATTTGTGGCTCTTTAAGATACCACACAATTTTGTTGTCGTTTTGCTGCAATGGGCCCATTTTATGCATAGTTTTGAACTGTATTCAGTGGGATTAGGCATTTTTGTAAGAAGATACCTTCCTCACAAACTGCAAAGTTGTATGTATAAAAGAGTTCATCGGGTAACAGGCACTGCCCAGGGTATAAAGACATGGGGGGGGGCACTGTCATTCTAGAAATGAGCGCTAGTACCAGCTGGTGAAATGGGTGCCGCTTGCTGGTATCCCAGCCATATCAGTGCAGTTGGGTTTGTGCTCACAGGTAATATTTTTTTATACTTCTAGTTAGGCTGACCAGCAAATCTTTCTATTTTTGTAGCTCATTCACCTTCTGCTCTTGGACTCCAGCCTTTGCTACCCCATTCAATGACACAACTGCCGATAAGTCACAGTTAACTCATTTATTTCAGGGACATGAGACTAAAGAGGTACCCCTGAGATACCCACTGTACTTGTATTCAGTTTAAACTTTAAATGACATCCAAAGCATTTTGAAGACGATTTTGTTGCCCAGGTATGTAAGTATAGTTGGCCTGCAAGACACTTTTATGGCTTTCTCCATAAATATGTTTACAAGACTTATTAAAGAGAAACACCTTTTTTTTTTGTATTGTCTGGAAGTAGTCCATTCTAGCTATGTGTTTGTTTAATTTATTTATCATCAAAAGAGCACTTTGCTAAAAGACAGGACTGACAGTTGTGCAAAATGTTTACAATTCTTTGTGAAATTGTAGTTCATCATTAGTTTGTATCTGTAAGTTATTGCTATTAAAGTATTACTTGTATTTGAGTTACATGCAGCCTATACTTTGAAGATTATGTCCATGAGCTGGCAAAAGTTCAGTTGCCAGAATTCTCTAAATGACCTAAATAAAACCTTCTGTTGTAGCATGACTAGCAAACATATTATTGCGTTAATGGTATAATCTCGAGTATTTTACAATGGACAGCCTGATTCTATTAGTTGAACTTGTAAGGAAAGACACAGTAAGTGCTCTAAGTACATAAATATTTAATGAATTGGCAGCCTTCTCTGAACTGGTAGATGTGACATCCGACATGAAGTTACTTAACTATAAATGGTATTGAAATGTCAATGATACCCTTTATAACCTAGAGAACAGCTAACTGTGGCTACTTTAATATGTTTTGTTCATTTCACCCTGTTGGTTTGGATTCTTACAAAATATATTTCATGCTACACAATTTCCACAATGTCTTGTGTACTATGTTAAAAAGGCCAGGGCAGTCTTTAAACAGCCCAAGTGCAAAAGCTAGAACTTTGGTACAGTTTCATGCATATAGGTACATGTACGTACATCCATGTCTCTTCTTACTGTGAAAGATTAGAGGCTTACATGCATCGTATTTAAATACAACCACCCTGATCTAGTCAAGGGGGAGATATATACACTTGTTTGCTTATGTGAACAATGTGACTGAAACTAGTAGCCTCCAATCACTCTTGTCTTGGTGCTGTGTATATTTGCTGTGGCAAATTGTACATTTTTGGTTTTCCAAAACCTAAAGAAGACAGGTGGAAGTGTCAGTGCCTGTGGTACACTGAGCCATGTTTGCCAATAGACAAGCTAGATACTACCTAGGGCTTCATTCTTTTAGGACCCTTGGCATCACTGAAGAGGAAAAGCCTCTCCTAAGATGTCTCCTCCTAACCATGCATGAACCATCTAAAACCACTTCTGCTTCTTGCTTCACAATTATGAGGATGTCAGTAATTGACAGCTAAGTCTTCCATAAGCGAATCATGGAGGAATTCTCCCCCCCCCCAGCAATTCCTCCTGCCTAAGCGCCATATATCTGCTCCAGAAGGTTGAGAACCCTCCATAGCAGATTTACATTTTCAGTGTAAATTTCTACGCATTGCAGTGTTCTATTACTGAACTGAATTTGGAGATGGGTCTTTTCCACCATGATTATGAGCATTTCAGATCTGCAGATTTCAAAGTTTGAATTTCGGAGCACTTTTGAAACAGCTCTTACCTTTGTTTTAGCATGTGAAAGTGGGAGAGCACAGCCATATATGTGCTCATGTCAGTTCTTCAATGACTAGAAGAAGCTGCTGGAAATTGCAGCAAGCCAGAGTGGCTTGCTCTCTTCCCTTCCTCTTGGTGAGGATTCAGTTTCTTGTGCTGAATCAGTGGTAGTGCTAAGGGAAGAATTGCTTCAGCTTCTACAGCAGGAGCTATACTGCATACTACTACAACCTCCTGGAGCACTTTCAAAGCAACCTTCACTGGTGGCAAGTTCTCATATTTAGGACACTTTGTATGCAGATGTTTTAAAGCAAAGGTAGGCCTTGGCTCGAGCAGCTTGCAACATCTGAGCAGTTGGAGCCAACTTCAAGTCATGCAGCAGATGCTTCATTCCTCAGATCGTAAGTGTGTAATGGCACCCTACGTAAAACAACAGCTGTGCTAAAACTACTTCCAGGGAGAGTAAGTTTCAGTATAAATTTTGTAAGTGTTGCAACTGTGAAGCTTGGACACACACTATTTTTGAGACTTCCTTTGTGTGTATTGGTTGTACTTGTTGAATTTTCATAAATGTTGAATGTCATCCAGTGGTTGTCTGAGCCAAGGGCAGCTTGGGCAGCCAACCTTCCTCTTTCTGTTCTCTCTCTGAATCTCATGCATCACCAAAAAGCTTATTCAGGATCCTCCCAGCCCTCTGGACAATGTGGGTTGTGTCATACAAGGCTGCAATGGAAGAAGAAAGTCACCTGAAATCTGGCAGAGCAATGGCTTGCCACTTCCCTCTGATGCAACTAGTTGTTGGCCTAAAACCCATCCATGTAAGGTAGCCATCTTGGATTTGACTTCTTCCTGCTTAGTGGTTCTTTTAAAAAGAAACAAAACTGAGTACATCATGGAGATTGTACTTCCAGGTACTTTGAGACTCCCAGTCCTCAAACCTTTTTTTAAAAAATGAAAACATATGCCACACTTTTATAAAACGTCTGTACAATTTTTAAGCAATAAAACATGAAAAAAACTTTAAAAACAGTGCAAAGGTAAATACTGTGATACCTAAATATCTGCATTTATTCCGAAATACATAAGTTTGTCTTTCAGCATGATTCCTTTTTTAAGGTTTGAGCCCTGTCTAACTGATACTCATGATCCCATAATTGAGTGGAATAAGCAGCCTTTGCATGTAGTTGTCAGAGTATAATCTGACTTTCGAGAGTACAGCTTCAACAGGGCTCATGTGCAGGAACAAAAATGCTGGAAAATGCCTAAATGTATTCCTTAAAAAAAAGAGGAAATGATTAGTTGTTAAAGCATGCGTAACAAGTGTTTTTCAAACTATTAGATGCTATCACACTGCTTTAGCAAGTTTTGTAAGAAAGTATGTTTGTAATGGTACCCAGAGACCACCCATTCCTAGAAAATGATTTGCAGTTTTAGTCCAATAGATCTGGTTCTAATAATTACAGATGCTATAATGGCTTGTAAGTAACCTTGCAAGCAAATATTGATTTAGAACCTGGTCTTAAGAGCACATTTCTCTCATTCCATCCCATGTTTTAGAATTGTTCTGTGGTTGCTGCATACCATTATTTTACCCTGCCTTTCTCTATAGTCGTGCAATGAAGTGTGCATGGGTAACCAACTGAGACTTCAGATTTCATATAGAGAAGTTAGATTTGGTCTGACTTTCATCATATATTTCCATTCAGAGTTCATTATTCTGGTTCCTGGCCAACCAGCATCAACTAATCCCTCTTGCTGTTACATGTATGTCACACTTGGTCATAATTTAGGCAAACTGAGTAGTCAGGGGAGAAAAAACACAACTTCCCATAGGGTAAATTAGCAATGCTCTCACGCTATGCACCTCCAGATTTGCAAAAGCCGCCAGAATGAAACAATGTGAGCGTGGGAAGTTGGGTTGAGGGAGCTTGTATACATGAACTTCTTGGCAGCTTAGATGACAGGCAGAGCCAAACTCCCTGGTAAAGATGTCTTAGGGGACTTGAACCAGAGATTAGGAGGAGGGTGGTCCATAGGTTCATCACAACCCTTTTGGTGAAGGCTGACGTAAGGCCCTGAGAGCAGTTGCAGTAGGTTCTTTTACCCACCTCTCTTGCAATCTGTATTACTAATATCAAATTGAACACAGAGTTTGATCTAGCAAAGTTGTCAGGTTAGTGCAAGGACTTGTGCCCCACAATCTGTTCTGGGTTTTCCCCTCCCTTACTTCTCTGTAGCAGATCATTGGGGGGATAAACAGGGAAAGGAGTTAGAAGAAGTCCTTTTGTTCAGATGGAAATCCTTGTGCTAATGGGATGTCTTAGCTGGATGCAACCATTTATCGGCCTGCAGGCCTAGCCCTTCCCAAATATCCCCTGCCTTGTATTTTTTTAAAAAATAAAATAATACACCAATATTCATTCCATGCCTTACCAAAAAGCAAACATTCTTAAAATGGCTAACAGATTGAGGTTGAATCCTGACAAGACAGAACTACTGTTTTTGGGGGACAGGGAGCGGGTTGGTGTGGGGGATTCCCTGGTCTTGAATGGGGTAACTGTGCCCCTAAAGGACCAGGTGCGCAGCCTGGGAGTCATTTTGGACTCACAGCTGTCCATGGAGGCGCAGGTTAACTCTGTGTCCAGTGCAGCTGTCTACCAGCTCCACCTGGTACGCAGGCTAAGACCCTACCTGCCCGCGAACTGTCTCGCCAGAGTGGTGCATGCTCTAGTTATCTCACGCTTGGACTACTGCAACGCGCTCTACGTGGGGCTACCTTTGAAGGTGACCCGGAAACTGCAATTAATCCAGAATGCGGCAGCTAGACTGGTGACTGGGAGTGGCCGCCGGGACCATATAACACTGGTTCTGAGAGACCTGCATTGGCTCCCAGTACGTTTCCGAGCACGATTCAAAGTGTTGGTGCTGACCTTTAAAGCCCTAAACGGCCTCGGTCCTGTATACCTGAAGGAGCGTCTCCACCCCCATCATTCAGCCCGGACACTGAGATCCAGCGCCGAGGGCCTTCTGGCGGTTCCCTCACTGCGAGAAGTGAGGCTACAGGGAACCAGACAGAGGGCCTTCTCGGTAGTGGCACCCGCCCTGTGGAACGCCCTCCCATCAGATGTCAAAGAGATAAATAATTACCTGATATTCAGAAGACATCTTAAGGCAGCCGTGTTCAGGGAAGTTTTTAATATGTAACGATTTTGTACTAAAGCATGTATGCTAGCTAGTTGGCATGCTATATTTTGGAGGGCAATTTAGTGCAGAGGAGTGTTACATAACAGTGGCCAAGTGTGTGTATAACTTTTATGCCCCACAATCATAACTAGAAGACATTTAGCTCTCTACATTTGAGTATTAACTTTCTTTGTTCTTTAGCCTGCCAAATATCCCACACATGTCATTCATGTTGTTGATAATCATTGCAATAATTGATTGGTAAAGGGCAGGTAAGGAATGCTGCCTTTGAAAGAAGCCTGAAGTCATAGGTTTTTGGGTGTGTATGTGAAATGATACTCTTGTTAGAGCTTAAGTTTTGTGTTTGGATTCTGACAATCTGCTTTACCACTTGGAAGGGAGACAGGCAGATCTGTACAGCCAATTTGTTTTTCTACAACAAAATGATGCTTATTTCCACTTGGTGGGTCATTCCACAGGCTTGAGGTTTCCCCATCCCTGTGATAGAGGTTCAGCAGCCACCCTGAAAATCATTTTGCAGCATATGGTTAGATTAGAGACCAAAATCTAGAACCAACTGGCTTTCCCTCCTCTCTCCTGCCTGTTTCGCTACCAAACCTCCCACCTAAGCTCATTAAATCCTTTCCCTTTCCAAAACAATACCCCACATAAAAACTGTTCAATCTCAAGGCAATCTGATTCCTCCCCAGCTTCTTTCCCTTGACCCTTCCCCGTGTTTCTCTAGCAGAGTTCCCCTCTGTTTAGTATATACATTACCATATGTCAGCACTAACTATTCTGTACACTGTGGTTTAAACACACACACAAAACCACCCCTAAAGTCCTCCCACAGTGTCTCAACAGGAACCGCCATCACAACCCCCACCCCGCCCCTTAACAATTCTGTCTTGCAACAGCTGCACTTGCAAACCACACCAACAATATTTCTCCCAATTGTCCCCGTGGGGGAAGAGATCCCTCCTGTTCCAGCCCCTCCTACAGATAAACTCTGTTACCAGATCAACTTTG